ACCCTCAAATAGGTTCCAGTGTTGATTACTTTCTTCCCTGTGTCCACATGTACTCAATGTTTAGCTCTCACTTATAAGTGATAATATATGCTATTTGGATTTATGTTCCTGTGTTAATTCACTTAGGATAATGGCCTCCAGCACCATCCATGTTGCTGCAAAGGACATGATCTCATTTTTTTATGGCTGCACATATGTCACATTTTAAAATCCAGTTCACTGTTGATGGACATATAGATTGATTCCATGTCTTAGCTATTGTGCATAGTGCTTCAATGAACATATACATGCATGTGCCTTTATGGTAGAACTATTTATATTCCTTTGGGCATATGCCCAGTAATAGGATTGCTGGGTCAAAAGGTAGTTCTAATCTTAAGTACTTTCAGACATCTCCAGACTGCTTTCCACAGTGACTGAAGTAATTTATATTTCCACCAGCAATGTATAACTATTCTCATTTCTCTGCAACCTCACTAGCATCTATTTATTGACTTTTAAATAATGGCCATTCTGACTGGTGTGAGATGGTATCTCACTGCGGTGTTGATTTGCTTTCTCTAACGATCACTGATTTTGAGTAGTTTTTCATATGCTTATGAGCCACATGTGTTCCTCCTTTTGGGAAGTATCTGTTCATGTTCTTTGCCCATTTTTTTAATGGGGTTGTTTTGTTTAAATTTCTTATAGATTCAGAATTTTAGACTTTTGTCAGATGCATGGTTTGCAAATGTTTTCTTCCATTATGTAGGTTGTCAGCTTACTCTGCTGATAGTTTATTTCGCTGTGCAGGAGCTCTTCAGTTTAATTAGGTCACATTGGTCAATTTTCATATTTTTTAAATTGCTTTTGGAGCTTTGTCATGAAGTCTTTGCCTGGGCTGATGTCCAGAATGCTATTTCCTAGGTTTTCTTCTAGACTTTTACACTTTTAGGTTTTACATGTAAGTCTTTAATCCATCTTGAGTTGATTTTTGTACATGGTAAAATGTAGGAGTCCAGATTCAATCTCCTGGATCTTGCAAGCCAGTTATCCTAGCACTATTTATTGAATAGGGAGTCCTTTCCTGGTTGTTATTGTCAGCTTTATTGAATATCATATGGTTGTAGGTGTGTATCTTTATTTCTGAGTTCTCTATCCTGCTTCATTGGTTTATGTGTCCTTTTTGTACCAGTACCATGATGTTTCAGTTAATATAGCCTTGTAGTATAGTTTGAAGTCAGGTTGTGTGATTATTCCAGCTTTGTTGTTTTTGCTTAGGATTGCTTTGGATTTTTGAGCTTTGTTTTTGGTTCTAAACTAATTTTATAATAGCTTTTTCTAATTCTGTAAAAAATGTCATTGGTAGTATGATAGGAATAGCATTAAATCTGTAGATTGCTTTGGGCAGTATGGCCATTTCCACTATATTGATTATTCCTACCCATGAACATAGAATCTTCTTCAATTTGTTTGTGTTGTCTCTGATTTCTTTCAGCAGCATTTTGTAATTCTCCTTCCTGGGATCTTTCACCTCCCTTGTTAGCTGCATTCCTAGGTATTTCAATTTTTTGGTGGCTATTTTGAATAAAATTGTGTTCTTGATTTGGTTCTCAGCTTGGATGTTATTGATGTATAGAAATGCTACTGATTTTTGTACATTAATTTGCATTTGTTTATCATACCCAGGAGGCTTTTGGCAGAGATTATGAAGTTTTGCCAGTATAGAATTATATCCTCTACAAAGAAAGATAGTTTGACTTTCTCTCTTCCTATTTGGATACCTTTTTTCTTTCTCTTGTCTGATGGCTCTGGCTAGAATTTTAGTCTAAGCCACAAGGACTGCAACTCCTAGGTGATTTCTAGTGCTGAACTGATCCCAGAGACCATGAACTTGAAGGACACCTACTGAGGTGGTGTCAGTGAAGTGATTCAAGACTGTTTTTCCTTTCTCTCCAGTGCCTCTTTCAGTGATATAAAATTAAAATCAGGTACCGTGAATCCTCCTTTCATATTTGTTTATGATCTGGGGCAGGTTTAAATTCTGTATGCAGGTGTCCCGGATCTAAACCTGGCACTGTTAGTGGAGCACTATGGTAGTGAGACTGGCCTCACCAACTCCATGGAAGCTGTGTGAGGCTTTCTGCTGCTGGCCACTTCCTTTACAAACTCTTAGGCATAGCAGTTATACTTCCCTCTGGAACATTATTCCAGTGGTCTGAGAACCACCTCTCATTCCCCATAGTGCTCACAGCAGGCCCTGCAAAAGAGTAGTCTGAGCTGAGACTCACCTAAACCTTCTCCTACATGATGATATTTTTCTACCACCCTGGTAGCTTAATACAAAGGATATAAACTTTAGGGTGCTTTATGGCCCTGCCCATCACTTAAGAAACGAGGATACTTCTGGAAAGCTTAGGGAAAGTTCAAAGCCCACTGCTACTACTACAGCTGGTCCTCTCTTATAAGCACCACCTCCTGACTGGAGGCCAACAACTCAGGCGACTGAAAGACCTCTCAGCAGAATAAAACTGTGCCTAGGAAGGAGAAAATGGCTGTGGTATCTCAGTTAACACAACTGCCTGCCACACCTTGGCTAACCAGAGGTTCTAAGCCTGTTAATATGACAAATTCACTCTACAACCGAAAAATCTGACAGAGGCTCCGTTACTCCTCTGCCACTTTCATCAGAGCAGGTCCTAGTATTCACTGCTGTGAAACCCAAAAGTAGGTCATATCACTGGATTTTTTGTAGAAAATTATTGTGTTGCTTTCTGTCTCCTTTCTTATGTATAGTAGTAATTGTTTATAAATTTGGAAGCTCCAGTGTTAGGTGCATATAGATTTAGGATTGTAATATTTTCCTGTTGAACCAATCCTTTTATCATTATATAATATCCTTGTTTGTCTTTTTTTTTTCTCACTGTTATTGCCTTAAAGCCTGTTTTGTCTGACACAAGAAAAGCTACTCCTGCTCACTTTTGGTTTCTGTTTGTGTAGAATATATTTTCCACACCTTTACATTAAGTTTGTGTTAGTCTATGTCTTTTATCAGTCTCTTGAAGACACAAGATACTTGGTTTGTGTTTTTAAAAAATCTATTCTGTAATTTTGTACCTTTTAAGTGGGATACTTAGGCCATTTACATTAAATATTATTGTGGGGGATGTCAATACTCCACTGATAGTACTAGCCAGATCAAAACAGAAAGTCAACAACAAAACAGCAGACTTAAACTATACCCTAGAGCAAATAAACAAATAAACTTGACAGATATTTATAGAACATTCTTTTCAACAACTGCAAAATATACATTTTTCTCATTAGCACATGAAACATTTTCCAGGATAAACTATATGATAGGTTACAAACGAGTCTCAATAAATTAAAAAAATCAAAATCATATCATGTATCTTCTCAGACTACAGTGGAATAAAACTGGAAGGCAACTCCAAAAGGAATCCTAAAGTTGTAAACATATATAGAAATTAAATAATCTGCTCTTGAATGATTTTTTGGGTTAACAATGAGATCAAGATTAAAATTAAAAAAATTGTTTGAAATAAATAAAAATAATGACACAAATTATCAAAGCCTCTGGGATACAGCAAAAGCAGTGCTAAAAGGAAAGTTTATAGCATGAAATGACTACATGAAAAAGCCTGAAAGAGCACAACTAGATAACCTAATGTCACAACTAAAGGAAGTAGAGAAATAAGAGAAAGCTAAACCTAAACACAGCAGAGGAAAAGCAATAAAGGTCAGAGGAGAACTAAACAAAACTGAAACATAAAAATACCAAAAAGGGTGGCTGGCAAGATGGCCAAATAGGAAGAGCTCTGGTCTGCAGCTCCCAGTGAGATCAATGAGGAAGGCGGGTAATTTCTGCATTTCAAACTGAGGCACCCGGATCATCTCATTGGGACTGGTTAGTGGGTGAAGCCCACAGAGGGTGAACTGAAGCAGGGTGGGGGGGGTTGCCTCACCTGGGAAGTGCAAGGGGTCGAGGAACTCTTTCCCCTAGCCAAGGGAAGCTTTGAAAAACTGTGCCATGAGATATGGTGCATTCTCACCCAGATACTATGCTTTTCCCATGGTCTTCTTCACAACCTGCAGACCAGGAGATCCCTTTGGGTGCCTACACTACCAGGGCCCTGGGTTTTAACCACAAAACTTGGCAGCCATTTGGGCAGACACTGAGCTAGCTGCAGGAGGTTTTTAATTCTTTTTAAATATCCCAGTAGTGCCTGGAATGCCTGCAAGAAAAAACCATTTACTCCTCTGAAAAGGGGGCTGAAGCCAGGAAGCCAAGTGGTATAGATCAGCAGATTCCACTCTAAGGAAGCCCAGGAAGCTAAGATCGACTGGCTTGAAATTCTTGTTGCCAGCACAGTGGTCTGAAGTCAACCTGGGATGCTCAAGCTTGGTGGGGGGAGAAGCATCCACCATTACTGAGGCTTGAGTAGGCAGTACCCCTCACAGGTAAACAAAGCCACTAGGAAATAAGAACTGGGTGGAGCCCACCACAGCTCAGCAAAGCCTCTGTAGCCAGACTGCCTCTCTAGAGTCCTCCTCTCTGGGCAGGGCATCTCTGAATGAAAGGCGGCAGCCCCAGTCAAGGGCTTATAGATAAAACTTCCATCTCCCTAGGACAGAGAACCTGGTGGAAGGGGCAGCTGTGGGTGCAGCTTCAGCAGACTTAAACGTTCCTGCCTGCTGGCTCTGAAAAGAGCAGGAGGTCTCCCAGCATAGTGCACAAGCTCTGCTAAGGCACAGACTGCATCCTGAAGTAGGTCCCTGACCCGTGTGCCTCCTGACTGGGAGACAACTCCCAACAGGGGTCAACAGACACTACACACAGGAGACCTCTGGCTGGCATCTGGTGGGTGCCCCTCTGGATGAAGCTTCCAGAGGAAGGAACAGGCAGCAATCTTTGCTGTTCTGCAGCCTCCACTGGTAATACCCAAGCAAACAGGGTCTGGAGTGGACCTCCAGAAAACTCCAGCAGAACTGCAGCAGGGAGGCCTGACTGTTAGAAAGAAAACTAACAAACAGAAATAATATCAACATCAACAAAAAGGACGTCCACACAAAAACCCAATCTGAAGGTCACCAGCATCAAAGATTAAAGGTAGATAAAATCACAAAGATGAGAAAAAAATAGCTTAAAAAGGCTGAAAATTTAAAAAACTAGAATAACTCTTCTCCTCCAAAGGATCACAACTCCTCACCAGCAAGGGAAAAAATGTGGAAAAAGAATGAGTTTGATGAACTGACAGAAGTAGGCTTCAGAAAATGGGCAATAACCAGCTCCTCCAAGCTAATGGAGCATGTTCTAACCCAATGCAAGAAAGCTAAGAACATTGAAAAAAGATTAGATGAATTGCTAACTAGAATAACCAGTTTAGAGAAGAACATAAATGACCTGATGGAGCTTAAAATCACAGCATGAGAAACTCATGAAGTATACACAAGTACCAATAGCCAAATTGATCAAGCAGAAGAAAGGATATCAGAGATTAAAGATCAACTTAATAAAATAAATCATGAAGATAAGATTAGAGAAAAAAGAATGAAAAGGAACAAACAAAGCCTCCAAGAAATATGGGACTATGTGAAAAAGACCAAACTTACCTCTGATTGGTGTACCTGAAAGTGATGGGAAGAATGGAACTAGGTTGGAAAACACTCTTCAGAATATTATCCAGGAGAACTTCTCCGACTTAGCAAGACAGGCCAACATTCAACTTGAGAATATATAGAAAACACCACAATGATACTCTTCGAGAATACCAACCCCAAGAAACATAATCATTAGATTCAGCAAGGTTGAAATGAAGGAAAAAATGTTAAGGACAGCCGGACAGAAAGGTTCGGTTACCCACAAAGGGAAGCCCATCAGACTCATAGTGGATCGCTCTGCAGACACTCTGAAAGTCAAATGAGAGTGAGGGACTATATTCAACTTTCTTGAGGAAAAAAAAAAAAAAAAAAAAAAAAAAAAAAAAAAAAAAAGAATGTCAACCCAGAATTTCACATCCAGCCAAACAAAGCTTCATAAGTGAAGGAGAAATAAAATCCTTTACAGACAAGAAAATGCTGATAGATTATGTCACCACAAGGCCTGCCTTATAAGAACTCCTGAAGGAGGCACTAAACATGAAAAGGAACAACCAGTACAAGCCACTGCAAAAACATACCAAAATTTAAAGACCAACAACACCATGAAGAAATTACATCAACCAATGGGTGGAATAACCAGCTAGTATCATAATGACAGGATTTAATTAACACATAAATATATTAAACTTAAATATAAATGGGCTAAATGCCTCAATCAAAAGACACAGACTGGCAAATTGGATAAAGAGCCAAGACCCATTGGTGTTGTGCATTCAGGAGACCCATCTCACATGCAAAGACACACATAGGCTTAAAATAAAGGGATGGAGGAGTATTTATTAAGCAAATGGAAAGCAAAAAAGAGAAGGGATTGCAATCCTAGTCTCTGGTAAAACAGAGGTTAAACAAACAAAGATAAAAAAGAGCATTACATAATGGCAAAGGGGCTAATGCAACAAGAAGAACTAACTCTAACTATCCTAAATATATATGCACCTAGATACCTAAATACAGGAACACCTAGATTCATAAAGCAAGTTTTTAAAGACCTAGAAAGAGACTTAGAGTCCCATACAATAATAGTGGGAGTCTTTAACACCCCGCTGTCAATATTAGTTCAATGAGACAGAAAATTAACAAGGATATTCAGGACTTGAACTCAGCTCTGGACCAAGTGGACCCAATAGACATCTACAGAACTCTCCACCCCAAATCAACAAAATATACATTCTTCTAAGCACCACATAGCACTTATTCTAAAATCAACAGCGTAATTGGAAGTAAAAGAATCCTTAGCAAATGCAAAAGAACAAAAATTGTAACAAACCACAGTGCAATAAAATCAGAACACAGGATTAAGAAACTCACTAAAAACTGCAAAGCTACATGGAAACTGAACAACCTGCTCCTGAATGACTACCGAGTATGTAACAAAATTAAGGCAGAAATAAAGAAGTTCTTTGAAATGAATCAGAACAGAGATACAATGTACCAGAATTTCTGACATACAGCCAAAAAAGTGTTTAGAGGGAAATTTATAGCACTGAATGCCCACAAGAGAAAGCAGGAAATATCTAAAATCCACACCCTAACATCACAGTTAGAAGAACTAGAGAAGCAAGAGCAAACAAATTCAAAAGCTAGCAGAGGACAAGAAATAACTAAGATCAGAGCAGAACTGAAGGAGATGGAGACACAAAAAACTCTTCAAAAAATGAATAAATATAGGAGCTAGTTTTTTGAACAGATTAACAAAATAGCCCACTAGCCAGACAAAGAAAAAGAGAGAAGAATCAAATAGACACAATAAAAAATGACAAAGGGGATATTATCACTAATCCCACAGAAATATAAACTACCATCAGAAAATACTATAAACAACTCTACACAAATAAACTAGAAAATATAGAAGAAATGGGAGGACGATCCAAGATGGCCGTTTAGGAACAGCTCAGGATTGCAGCTCCCAGTGAAAGCGCAGAAGGTTAATGGACGCCACGTTTTTATTGCCCACAGACTAGGAAATTCCCGGGCAGAGGTGCTCCATGTTCGCCAGCATGGCTGTTTCGGCCAGCGTGGCTGTGCCGGCCAGCGCTGCTGCTTTGCCCCGCGCGGCTGCTTTGTCGGCCCCCCGGAGCCGCGATTCTCCGTACAAAATACACCAGTCCGGGTGCCCTTTTGGCTGGCGACTGGAGCCACGGGAAGTCACCCATTCGCCGGTTCAAAAAGGGGAATGAGCAGAGAACCAGGACAGTAGATTCCAGGGCAAAAAAAAAAAAAGCGTAACAAACCTCAGTGCCGCTGTTTAAGCCAGCGCAGTGAGTGGCCGCAGGGGAAAACAAACAGACCCCGGCGCCTCTTCAACAGGCGACTGGAACACCAACTTAAAAAAGGCTCTGAGGCAGGGAGCCAGGCGATCAGGCTCGGCTGGTCCCACCCCCACAAAAGAACAGCAACCAGAAACTCTGGATTGAGAGTTTCACAGCAAGCCCAGCTGAACCCAGGACAGTCCAGCTCTGTGGGGGAGGGGCGTTCGCCATTACCGAGGCAGCCCGCCGTTGCCAAGGCAACACGCCATTGCTGAGGCAGCCCGCCGTTGCCAAGGCAACCCGCCACAGGAAAGAGACTCCGCCTCAACAGAGGCGGGCCACCATCGCCAAAGCAGTTCTAACTACACCCATATAAACAGGACTGCAGGGAAGTTCACTCGGCAGCGGGGCGGAGCCCACAGCAGCCCAGAAAAGCTGCTATAGGCCGACAGTGACTAGGCTGCCTCCTTGCTGGACTGGACAGGTCTGAAGGAAAAAAAAAAAAAAAGAAGGCAGCAGCATAACAGAAACTCATGAATAAAGCCCTAAATCCCTGGGACAGAGCACCTGGGAACAAAAAGCAGTTTATGAGTTCTGCTGCAGCAGACCTAAAAGTACCTGCCCAGCAGCTCTGAATGAACAACAACAGAGCTCGCAGCTCACCATTTGAGCTCCTATAAAGAAGAGACCGTCTCCTCAAGCAGCTCCGTGACCCCTATATATCCAAAAAGACATCTCATAAAAGAGAGATCAGATTGACACTACGCGGGTATCCTTCTGGGACAAAGATAGCAGAAGAAAAAACTGGTAACAACCCTTGCTGTTCAGCAGCTGCTGCAGGTGAACCCCAGGCAAGCAGGGCCTGGAGTGAACCTCAGCAGACCTACAGCAGAGGGGCCAGACTGTCAGAAGGAAAACCAAGAAACAGAAATAACCTCATCATCAACAAACAGACCGTCAATCTGAAAGATTTGAGACCGAATCTGAAAGCCAGCAACTACAAAGTCGACAGGTGGATATATTCTTAAAGATGGGAAGAAACCAGCGCAAGAAGGATGAAAACACCCGAAACCAGAATACCTCTCCTCCTAAAAGGGATCACAACTCCTCACCAGCAAGGGAACAAGGTTGGATGGAGAACGAGTGTGATGAAATGACAGAATCAGACTTCAGAACGTGGGTAGTAAGAAACTTCTGTGAACTTAAAGAACATGTTCTAACCCAATGCAAAGAAACTAAGAACCTTGAAAAAAGATTTGACGAGATGCTAACGAGAATGGACAAAATAGAAAGGAATATAAGTGAATTGATGGAGCTGAAAAACGGAACACGAGAACTTCGTGAAGCATGCACAAGTATCAACAGCCGAATTGACCAAGCAGAAGAAAGGATATCAGAGGTCGAAGATCAACTCAATGAAATAAAACCGGAAGGCAAGACTGGAGAAAAAAGGGTAAAAAGGAATGAACAAAGTCTCCAAGAAATGTGGGACTATGTGAAAAGACCTAATCTACGTTTGATAGGCATACCCGAATGCGACGAAGAGAATGAATCCAAGCTGGAAAATACTCTTCAGGATATTATCCAGGAAAACTTCCCCAACCTAGCAAGGCAGGCAAACATTCAAGTCCAGGAAATACAGAGAACACCACAAAGATATTCGTCAAGAAGAGCAACCCCAAGGCACATAATCGTCAGATTCACCAGGGTCGAAATGAAGGAGAAAATACTAAGGGCAGCCAGAGAGAAAAGTCGGGTTACCCATAAAGGGAAGCCCATCAGACTCACAGCAGATCTCTCAGCAGAAACCCTACAAGCCAGAAGAGAATGGGGGCCAATATTCAACATCCTTAAAGAAAAGAACTTTCAACCCAGAATCTCCTATCCAGTCAAACTAAGCTTGATAAATGAAGGAAAAATAAAATCCTTTGGGAACAAGCAAGTACTCAGAGATTTTATCACCACCAGGCCTGTTTTACAAGAGCTCCTGAAAGAGGCACTAAACATAGAAAGGATCAACCAGTACCAGCCACTCCAAAAACATACCGAATGGTGAAGAGCATCAACACATTGAAGAATCTGCATCAACTAACAGGCAAAACAGCCAGCAAGCATCAAAATGACAGGATCGAATTCACACATAACAATATTAACCCTAAATGTAAATGGGCTAAATGCCCCGATCAAAAGACACAGACTA